ACGATCGGGCATTCCAAGTCATCTCTGGCCACATAAGTGTGCAAGGCCAGCCTGTGGTACATGGTACCCTATCTCAAAACACAAGCCAAGGTAATGGGGGCTGTCATGGAGGCACCAACCAGTACCCCCCTCCCTTTGCCTCCCCAAGTGTCTGGTCTGTTTGGAACTAACAAAATAAACCCCCAGTCAACCTCAAGGCTGCTGACTCTGGTGATAACCGATGATCCAGCACCAATGCTGAGGTTGTTACCTGGGGTCCTGCTTCTGTGCTGCAGGGACTTGGCCTCTCCTTGGGGGGTACAGGTGAGGCTCCTATCAGCTGACATGGCCCCAGGCCTCCCATCCAGAGTAGGTCCCTGCCCCCCATTTCTATCCATAGGACACAAGGTTAGTGTCCTGAGAGGTATGGAAGAGGCCACAGGAGCCAGGGTTGAAAGGGCTCAGGAAAAACAAGCCTGATTACATGACGCTAGGGGAAGTTCTCTCTGCTATCTAACCTGAATCCTCCACCAGAACAGGCAGGAAGGAGGAGGCAAGCCCTTGTTTGTGCCCTGGTATCTGCTAAAGGCTGGGGTCTTCCTTCTGCTTCCATCTACCCAGGCCCCTTGGGTAAAGAGGGCGAAACCCTGGGCTGGGGCGGGACTCATTCCTAGTACATTTGGAAGACACTGGGTTCCACCCCAGCACTAATTACTAAAAGAAAAATGTTGGGCCCGATGGTGAAGGCCTGCAACCCCAGCTACTCAGGAGGCTGACATAGGAGAATCACAAGTCCTGGCCTGCCTGGGCCACAGAGAGAGTTCAAGGCCAGCCTGAGTTAACTTTCAATGCTGTCTCAAACAACAAAGCGGGCAAACAAGGCTGGAGATACAGCTGAGTGGCAGAGCACAAAGCCCTGGGCTCCATCTTGGGTACCAGAAAGGGAGGGAGGGAGAGGGGGGAGGAAGAAGGGAAGAAATGGGAAACAGGGAGGAAGGGAGGGAGGAAAAAGAGAAGGAGGGAAGAAAAGAGAGAGGTTGAAGCAAGCCAGTGGGCTTCCTGGAAAACAGGAATGCAGCCTGGAGCAGGGCCTGTCCCTATGTCGCCTTGGGCACCACACTTCAAAGGGCATTTGCAGCTATGACTCATTTCCCTCTCAAAGGAGCCTTGTGAGGCCGCGCTCAAGCTGAGCACAGGTCAAGAGACTGGAAGCCTGGGAAGCGTAACTTAGCCCAAGACGGGCATGGAGGAGTGGAGGCACCTGTTCCTAGAAGCAGGATTCCCACCCTCCTTAGTCCACATCTGTTCCCACCACCCTCTGACTAGAGGTCTGGTCTCCAGGGCTGGAGCAAGGGATGGGCATAAGAGGACAGATGACAGGAAGACAGCAGCCTGCAGACGGGCTGAGCTGAGCGAGCGAGGAGGAGTGTTTCTAAGCCCCCTCTTTTCAACCTGATAGACTCAGAGTCCTCCCCCACCAGGTCCCAGGCTGTGACAGACAGCCTTCCCTGCTCACCAGCCCTGCAGCCAGAGTCTGGATGCCTCCAGGAATGGAGACCTCGCTAGAGCAAAGGTGTCCATCATCACGAGGACTCCTCCTCCTGAAAGTAAGGTGCAAGGAGAGAGCCCAGACTCTCACAGGGCCCAGGAAAGGGTTATGACCTCTCCTTTTGGGGGTGAGGGAGGCTGCTACACCAATATCTTCTTTGCTGGTACAGGTCCTCCCTCGATGGTCTGGCTTCCAGTGGCCTTGATAGAGCAATGCCCCTGGTGTCACTATCCTTCTTAGCTGCTGTCCTTCAGAAGTGCTCTAGGGTCCAGACAAGGTCTTAGGAATGTACCCAGTGATCTCCTTCTGCCTACACTTCAAAAACGCTTGCCCTCTGAGGCTGCCCAGGACAGAAGCAGTCCAGCTACATATCCAGTGCCTCACCTCCCTGCCGCCCCCTCTGGGGTATCACACTGCCTCATCTTGAGCTTCAGGTGCCCCTCACTCTCACTGCATGCTCCTCCCAGCCATCCATCTGCCTCAGGGCTCGGCCTGGTGGTTATGTGCAGGGGCCCCCAGCTCTGAACTCCACTGCTCCTCACAGCCCAGCATGGTGGAGCCAAGGTGCACACGGCATGTACTCCGTCTACATGTGAGTCTCTGGTGAGTGGCCTGGGACCCCAGCAACCCTGTCCAGATGCCCAGCACCTTGAGGAGTGGGAAACCACAAACTACCGGACATCTGATGGACATGAACCACACAGCGTCTCCTCCTTCTGGCCCGTTTCCCTCTCTGGGTGCTGCGCCTGTCCTGCTGCCCAGGACCCCAGGGCTCCCAAGGGCTCCCAGGGCTCGGCTCCCTGCCCCCAGCCACTTCCTGCACCGTGCCCGCATCTGATGCCCGTGCTCGCATCTGATGCCCATGCTCACGCGGTGGCTAATTCTGGAGTCTCATCAGACGGTAATTATGGGGGAATGAGCAGCACTGTCATCTCGGCGCTCGGCACCTGTCACCACTCCGCCATCATGGGCTGCTGGGATGGGACAGAAGCAGAGGGGGAGGGAGGTCTGAAGAGGGGCCCCCGCCTGCCCACAGGTGACCAGTACATGTCCCCGGGGTGGTCACCCTGATGTTCAGGCATCCTGGCCTGGCAAAGGTCACAGAAGGTGTCTGCGCATGCCCTGTTCCATACATCTTGGCACCTTCAAACTGTCTGGCACACAACAGGCCTGTGCTGACTGTGGACATGATCATATATACACCAGATACAGTCCCAGAAGAGGAGCCACAGAAGACCTAGTGTATAGAACAGAAAGCCAGGCCTGGCAGAACTGGGAATACCTCAGTCAGGACACAGTGAAGATGCGGCAGAGGATGAGAGAGGGGAACCTCACAGTGGGTTCTCAGGAGCCAGGACTAACAAGGAATGCCTCTTGCATTCCAGTGAGTGGACAGACTCCCCTACTGCCCCAGCAACATGAGGGATGGAGGCTAGACTCAAGGCAGGCTTTGGGAGGAAGGCAGGCAGTGAGAAGGGGCAGGGTTGGAACTCGGGTCATCTGTCTGATCCTGGGCATGTTGCATGATTTCCTGTCGTATCTGCTTTGCCCCCAACACAAAAATGACAGCATCTTCAGCACCACTCTGGGGACAGCAGAAAAGGAGGTAAACCACGGGACAACCATAGTAAAGACCTTAAGCCTTCTTATCTCTCACAACGTCCCCAAAACCACCACCACCAGAAGCTAATGGCCTCACCACACCAACCATACCGCGGGAAAATGCAGCCTGCATTCCACTGCCTTACCCCCAGAGCCCCTGGAACACACAGATCTACCTGAAAACAGCGACATAGGCACTGAGCCCTCCCTGGGTGCCCTGGCTCCCACCCAACAGCAGTTCAAACAATGCCCCCATCCATTCCAAAATCCATCCACACCTTCCGCTCAGAACAAGGCAAGATGGGGGCTGCCACATCTTTCCATGAACGCAGAAAGTAGTCTCAGGAAGTAGTGGGCCCCTCCATCACTGGGGGCATTCCAAAAGCAGATAGGCAAAAAAAAAAAGAAGGCCTTGGCCCCTCCGCCAGAGCAGGCCTCCCCCCACAGGCCCCCTGAGATCTATCTGTCAGGGGTCTAGGGAGGACCTGGACTTCTCAGGAGGGTATGCCAGCTCCTCCCCACCTTCCCGGGTAGGAGCTAAGGCTGGGGAGGGCAGGAGCATGGCTGCTCTTTTAGGAAAACGGTAATTTTAATTAAGAGGCAGACAAACGAGCGCTCCGCAGATTGTCTCAGAGCAAAGTTATTAAAAAGCCATCAAGGCGGTGGAGGCAGCCACAGCGGTGAGGAGTGCCGCCTCCCCCCACACCCATGCCTGCCTGGACGCGGATAGGGGGTGGAGGACACAGAGTCACTGACAAGATGGGCTCCACAGCCCCTCGGCTCTGGAGTAGGTGGGCAGTACCACACAGCACCTAGGCATAGCCAGCCCAGCCCTGGACATGAGGCAGGAAGAGAAGCCACCTCCAGAGCACCCTGCTCAGGCAGGAGCCCACGGGTCAGTGCTTGTCCCTCTTCACAGCCTGTCACATGCGCATTCTCACCGAAACTCAGAACAATGAGGCTCAGAGAGGGAAAGGGGTTCGTCCTAGGCCACACAGCTGCAAGGGCTTAAATGGGGATTTAAACACAGGCCGTCCGGCTCAGTGGTCTGAGCCGCGAGCCCTGAGCACAGAAGGAGGGTGGAGGGCTGTCCTAGTCCAGGTTCCAAAAGGCCTTAGTGGTGGCCTGGATGGTACTGCTCCCAGCCTCCAGGGAATTGGAGTCTGAGTCCCTGCTTGATGGGGTGACAGCATGGGTCTCAGGACACTCTACAGAGAGGGACAGGACAGTACAAAGGGGTTTCCAGCATTAGCAGGCCGAGCCAAGATGTCAGTGAATAAGATACCACCTCACTGGGGTGGCGGATGGATGCCACTGTTGGAGGCTAGACCACTGCTAGGTTACATGGCCCCTGCCCAGAGATGCTGAGGGAGATGTCTCTGTCATAGAGATGCTGTGAGCCCCCACCACTCAACACCGCTCCCTAAGGCAGCCATGACCAGGCAGGGTGGCAAGGCATGGCCCTGCTGGGTCTCCCTCTGGAGCCTGCGCCGGCTCAGTGACTCTTCAAAGTGAAGTGGATACCAAGGGACAAGGGACTGAAAAACCATGTCCTGAGGTCACCTGACCCAATTCCCACCACTATCCCGCCCCCAACAGAGCCTCTGGGGCCTCAGGTCTTGGCAGAGGTGGCCTGCCTCTAGCCCATGCCCAGCCCACACAGACACACACCTACATACATGCCTGCGTGCTCACACAGGCACACTCACATGCACGCGTGCACACAGACACATATTTGCCAGGCAAGATGCCCTCCCCTCACGGGGATCTGCCGTCCCCTCCCCCTGACATATGCCTGGCCCCCTGGGCACGGCCCTCCCAGTGGCAGCGGAGGGTGCTGACTAGGTGGGCTCCCTCCTGGCTTACTAACCTGGAGACTTTAAACAGAGGGAACAGAGTCCTGCCGGCTTCCCTCCCGCCGCTCGCTGGAGCCCTGGGTGAGGGACAGGAAAGGAGGAAACCAGTGAATGAGCTGAACGAGCTAGGGGCAGGAGGGTTGGGCCAGGGGGGCGGGGTGCAGCAAGGCAGAGCTGTAGGAGCTGTCCCTTTAGAGGTCACCAGGGTGTGAGGGGCTCCCCTCGGGGTAGAGACCAGGGATTGTAGGAAGGGCAGGCAATAAAAGGACAAAGACATCACTTGGGGACAGACAGGAGGACAGACAGCAACAACACGGAAAACATGGGGTCCCCAGAGTTGGGCCCCCCCGTCAGACAGACAGCCCTGGTCCTCTTTCTGGGACTAGGGAGCAGACGCTTGGCTTGGGTGCCCATTTAAGACCCCAAATGCAGCACCCATGGGGGCCCAACAACTCCCCCTATCCGGGTCTCCCACTTTGGGCAGGAATGGGGTCAAGGTCAGAGGGCTAGCATCACTGCTCACTGCCCTTCCCCCAGCTCCAAGGACCCTTCCTCAATCTGGCAACCTCATCCCTGATTCCACTCCCAGCCGTGAATGTCCTGTGGTCTCCAACAGAGGACACGGGCATTACACAGCCTACAGGTGTTCACACACAAATGCAAACCTTGCTTGGCCACGCAGTGGTGAAAAGCTCCGGTCCTATTTCTGCTGGAGGCCCCTTTGCAGGGTCTCCACATCTCCTCTCATACCCTTCTCTTTCTACACAGAACTTCCTAAATCTATCCTACCCCACGCTAACAGATACCACCTCTTTTTTGCCACGGGGTCTGAGGTACAAATCCCCTTCCTGCCTGGAGACGTTGCATCTGGGCACAGCCCTTGCTTGGCTAGCCTGGGTACATCCACACTCACTGCACGCACTCTCTGAGCCCCCTGCCAATCTCCCGGTTCCAATTTTCCCACCGATTACCCGACGCACGGACGCCCCGGGGAGAAACAGCTGCTGTGCCCAGATGTGGGCAGACTACTGAGAAAGAAAGCAAGAATGCACCACTGATCCGGCACCCCAGGGTGCCTTGGATGGTGGGTGTGAGAGGGGCAGGCTGACTGCTTTGGGGGTAAAACAGGACTCAACAACCCAGTCTCTACACAGTGTGAGTGGTCCAGGATGACCTTGAACTCTGAGCCACCCTCACTGGTGCTGGAATTACAACTCCGCTTGCACCCCATCTCCAGCCCCTTCTCACCACCCTTCCCAGAGTCCTGCCCTCTGTACCGGCTGAAGCACTGGGTCTCAGTGCTACAGGAAAGTGAAGCCATGTCCCCAGTGAGTGTCCCCAGAGCTGCTCCTGGACCACCTCCCATCCAACCTCCCCTTGCACCAGTATTTGGGAAGTTCTCCCTGAAGTCTAACTGTGGTCCATTACATGCTCCAGTAGATTTTTTCCCCACATTCTTCCTGCCTCGTCCTAGGGCAGGTGACTGGCCCCAGGCTGTCAGGTGGGTGACAAGGTTTCACCGTGGGTGACTTTAACGCTCTAGGAGCCCCTTTCCTGAATCTCCCCATACAGCTATAGTAAGCAGGGGAGCCCCTCAGAGGTCACTTTCTGTTTAACACACCAAGAGGCCTAGGCTCCTAAGGACCAGGTTTGGGGTTGGCAGTGAGGGTCTATGTCTGCCAAGGGCTGTTATGAGCCCTGGACACCTTCTTGGGGAGCTTAATTCTCCTCAAGGAGGAGGCAGCTTGTATCTGGGTCGCTGCAGGGACACCCAGCCCTTGGCCATTATCAGGAGACTGAAGTAGGGGAGCATAGGACAAGGATATGTTACCCTCTCTCAGGCCATGTACAAATACCTCTGGCTGGGGCCTCACTGCGGACCAAGTCTAAGGCTTACTGAGTTCTGGGGGTCCCCAGCGATGAGACCCCAAGGAACACAATTTCTCTCCTGGCTTGGGATATTCCACCCTGGGCCTTGCAGGCAGCCGAGCCTGCTGACCACAGATCTCAGAAAACCTGGGAGCAGTGACTGAAGCTGGCCACCTGCTGGACCCGCAGCATGAAGGAAAACAAGGGCTGGATTCTGGTTTCTCAATAGAATGGAGTGCAGGACTGGCCGGGCCTCTAGCCACCTCATCCATCCCCGAGGCTGGAGGATAGATGCAGGCAAGGTGTGTGTCAGTCATGGAGTAAGCCACCAGCGTGTGCATGTGTGTGGGTCCAAATATCTTGGCCTTGTGCCATTTCCTCTGGCTCAGCTGAAGCTGGGAGGTATTCCTCCCGCCCTTCATGTGACAAAGCATTTCTTATCTCAGGGGACAGGAGGTGGGGAGAACCTTAGACAACTGACAGGGAGCTTAAAAACCTCTATTTCCAACTTCTTTACTGATATCAAGGACACTGAGGATCAGAGAGGGCAATACAGTTGCCAAGGTCTCACAGCAACAGAGGAGACGCCAGTCTAAGTTTGTTCTTTAGGGAACAAAAGGGACTCCTTATTGCTTCCTTTGTTCCACACCTCAGGACCCCTCGGTCACACGCAAGAGTTACCTTCTGGGAGAGGGTGCCATGCTGACCACTGGGGGGAATGGCTGATAAACTAACTTCTGCTCCCACACTGCCGACCCTTCCTCATAGACTGGGAAGTGCTTTCTCTCTATCTACCTCCATTCTTCCTGCTCCAAGCTGTCCATGCAGGGAGAAGGGGAAGGGAGCAGAGCAGACGTGCAGCCTCCACACCCTGCCAGCACTGAGGACCATACCAGGGCAGGGTGTCCTGGCAGTTGGCCCTACGCCCGGTTTGTACATGGCGGAAGAATGGCTGATGTAGCGACGTGACTACAGAAAAAGCTTCTTCTAGGAATTGCCCAACCATGTCCTCCCCAAAGCCCAGCCTCGGGCGGCAGTCTCTGCCCCTCCCCAGAACCCCGGTTTGCTTCTCCCAAGCCGGGCACTGCGCTGGGCCTTTCCGTCTCTTCTCTCGTGTAGTCTTCTCTATTTCATAGTAGAAACTAACTTTGCCCTCGGTGTCTGTGCTTCCCTGAAGCTAAGTCTAACCTTGTTCTCACTTGCTGCATTTCCTCTGTGCCAGTCCCTGGGGACGGAGTTCATGTCTGTCCCTTCCTTCAGAAGCTGCCATCGTGACTCAGTGGCCTTGTACTACCTCTTCTAGGCCACCAGCCTTTATCCCAGCCTCGCCCTAGGTAACAGGGGACATGCATTTGGAAGGAACCACAGCAGGACTAGGGACCGGGGTCCAGGGCTCTGCCCTGTGCCAGGTATGGAAGGCACGTGGGTGGCAAGGAGGCCTATGGATGTGTTATAAGATCAGGATAGGCGGACCAGGACCTCTGGGTTACACACACACACACACACACACACACACACACACACACACAGTCTAAGGCCAGGCAGGAAATAACCTCTTCTCTCCATATTTAAGGTTTGTTTCAATTCTCATTCCTAGAGCTCAGGGGCCTGGTCTGGAATAGGAGGGAAAGGGCACAGCTGTGTGTGCTGTGGCCTGAGCTGAAGCCGGAAGGGCCTGAGGCGCCAAACCAAGCACCTAGCGTGTGGCAGCTACAAGAAGCTCTAGAGAACTGACACCCTACTGCCCTGTCCTGCTGCATCCTCCCCACCAAGGCCATGCATATACATCCTGCTTTAGAGTAAGGACACAGGAGAGGTGGGGGACCAGACACCCACCTTCCCGGATGCTTAGTTCCCACCCTCAAAGAAGCTGGAGCCTTGGGAGTTAAGCCAATGGGTGAGGGGAGCTGGAAAGATAGGCGGGACTCTGAGCCCCATGTGGGTGGTGTCCTTCCCCATGTAAGCAGGCGCTATTAATATATGCAAAGCATATGCAAATCACCCAGAAGAGAGACACAACTTCGCAGGAATGTCAGAAGAGACCTTGGAGATCATCCAGCCCCGCCTCCTCATTTCAGGTGAGAAAGGAGACTAGGGAAGGGACTTACTCAAGGTCACACAGACAACTAGGCCTGAGACAGGATTAGTGCAGGGCTCCAGGCTCAGTATGGTTTCTGATGCATCTGTCCTCTGGAGGGTTAACCAGGGGAAACTGGCCAGGGCGTGGCATGGTGCCCAGAAGCTTCCTGGATCCCTCCCTGGAGCCTGAAGGTAGTCTGATGGGCATGAATTGAGAGACAGCTGTGTGACAGAAGTACCCTTAAGGAACAGGGACGGGGACCAGAAGGGCTGGGGGAAAAAAATCTGTTGGGGAGGTGGGGAGGTGAGTGCCAGAGGTTCCTGAAGTGTGCGAGGCAGGGGTATGAGGAGCCCACTGTCAAGGTGAGGTGGTGTGGGAAGAGCCACCACACACACACATACATACACACACACACACACACCACAACGAGCAGGCTTGAGTGTGCTCTTAAATGCACAGCAGCCCCTCCAGCCTGCACTCTGACAGTGATGGCACCTGACAGCCCATAATAGTCAGCTGGCCCATCCCTACCGAGGGAGGCTGCGGCTATGGCTGTTCAGGGACTGCTCCCTCAGCAGCAACCTTCCACTCAGTCCTAGAAAGCAGGATCGCTGCTAGGGCAGAGCAGACAGACAGAGGGGAGGGGCCACCAGAGAGAGCAAGGGGACCTCTGAAGGAGAGGGGACACGGGGCGGGCGGCAGGCAGGCTGGAGGAGAGGCAGGGAGATGGGAGGTGGGAGTGAGGCAGGAGACCGGCAGAGGTGCGAAGAGGGGACTTTGGAAACAGGAGGGCGGAGAGGGATGCTGTTGGGTCCCAGGGACCTAGAGGACCACACTAGAGTCGGGGCACTGCGTATGGAGTCCTGCTACTGAGGTGCCACACTGTCAGCAGGGCTTGGGGACCAAGCTTCTGCCCATCACTGGCTGCCAAGAAGTCGGCCCTCTCTCCCTCCCTCCCTCTCTCGCTCCTGCCTCTCTCTCCCTTGGGGCAGGAGCTGCTTCCCAGCCAAATCCAAAGCCTTCATCTCCTCTTTTCAGAGCTGGGAATGAAAGAAGGGGAAGCGAGCGCAGCCCTCAAACCCGCTGACGGCCAGATTTTTATTATCTTTGCTCAAATGGGCCCTGGGAAGCCAGCTAAGGAGTCTTCAAAGAGCCCCTGAGTGCTTCATTGAAGCTGCACCTGCTCCGGCCCACCCACAGCAGGCGTGGGCTGGGGGCACAACTCATCCCCAGAACCCCCAACTCCAGGGAGCTGAGCCAAGGATTCAGAAGCCTCCACCTTGGCACCTTGTGTCCAGGCAGGGGCCACAAGGTCAGGGAGCCAGGCCAGACCTGGGCCAGCTGGGCATCCAGGCAGGCCCTGTTCCTATCCGGGCCTGAACAACATAAATGAAGGAGGAAAAGGCATCTCCTTGCCAGAGCTTAGAGATAAGTGCTTAGAATTCCTCGAAAGAGATGCCTTTATGGCCAGCCTGGGATTTCCCCTGGACCCTGACCTGCCAGGACACTCACAGGCCACTCCATTCCTCCAGACTCCCGTGATGGTGACAGCACAGACCTTGTCAACCACCACACTTCTTGCTGTGCTCCCAGCTCAGTGAAAGAGGTCAAATTCATGTGAGCCAACCTTCCCCTCACCTGAGCACAGTGCCCAGCCCTTCCAGCCCTCGGCTGGGCTGCTCCTCTTCCCCCAACACCTATCTGGGCTGGAGGTAGGGAGCTTCACAGAGCCCAACCCGATTCCTGCTCAGCACTTCCAGGGCTGGGGTTTTGGCAGAGAATGCCAAGGTTAGCACTCAGCAGACAGCCTGTGCCACCCCTTCCCCCATCCCCTGCTCTGACCACACCATCGAGATCGATGCCCGCAGCCAAAAAGGAATCAATGGTTCTAATTAAACCCTTTTCTTGGGTGGGTCCCTGGACAGGAAGGAGGGGGACACTCAGAGGAGCCATGGATGGTCACTACTCACCTTTAAGAGGCTATATAAGTAAGGCCAGGGAGCCCCCAGACCTCCTATGCTAGTAGAAAGTGAACAGAGGAATGGGGGGTGGGTGGAGAGTCTGAGGGGGAGCATGTCTCTGAGGGCTTGCTTGTTCTAGGAACCCTTCCCCTAATGAGGCTCCTCTCCCCTCTCCCAGCCTCAGACTACATGTGTTTCTTCTAGGCAAGTCTCCAGAGTAGGAGCCAGAAGGGAGACCCACCCCAGCCTCCATCCCAGGGTCATAGCTAGCCCTCCAGGAAGGAAAGATGCAGGACTGGGGGGCAGCATTGGACAAAGACCCTCTTGTCCTCAAGGCAGAGTGGCAGGGAGCCAGGGCAAAGCCTTTGCAGCCAATGATGCCTGGGTACCAGGCAGCCCAGAGGGAGCCCCTTCCCCTTATGTCCAGAGTCCTCACCCACCGTTGCGCCGACACCAGGCTAAGTCTCTACTCCAGCTCTCGGTCTATCAAGAGCACTCTGTCTGAGTAGTACTTTGGACACTTACCCTGAGTGACTCCCACACCAGCCAGCATCAACCAGACCCCCGTACCCATACCACAGCTGCCCCTCACTTACAAACACACACCAGCCATGCTAGAAACCAACACACCCAGCTGCCACCAGAGACAACAGCCTCGCCATCCCTAGTAGCTCTCCATCGGGCTCATCAGCAGGGACAGGGAAGGGGAGAAACTGAGGCACAGAATTAGACAGCCAAGCAGTTGGCTCAAGGTCACCCAGACCAAGATGACCAGAGTAGAGAAAGGTATCTTAATACCCCATCCCCAAAGGGCACAAACCCCACCCGAACTAACGTCTGCTCAGTTTCTCCTCTTCCCACCTTCATCCCAAACACCTTCTAAGGGGCTGCAGCCGAAAAGCTGCCACCAGGGACCCGACTTCCCTCAAAGCTGGAGCCTGCAGAGCCCCAGATATGGCAATATATTTGAGAGGGGTTGTAAGGACAGTTCAGCCTTGCTCACACTGCAGAACCATCTCACCTGGCTCCCCGCGGGCCCCAGGGTCCCTTGGTCCAACCTCCTCCCTGGGAGAGCGGGCTCGACCCTCCGCGGTCCTCTCCCACCAGGCCAGGGCAAAGCGCCGGAGGCACTGCCAGGGCTGCATGGGGAGGCGTGGGGCTGGGGGCGCGCACCAGCAGCCACACACGCCCCACCGGGCCCTGCCAGCTGAGCTGCGGAGGCACCCGGTCGGCCCCCTCTACTGCCACCAGCATCCTGCTGCCCCCACCAACAGGACTCGGAGCCGGCCCGGGAGCTTCTGACGTAGCAGGGGGGTGCGTGGGAGAGGAGGGGGAGCCACGACGAGTCCCCTCCCCAGCCCCGCCCCTCTACTTCTCCAACCCCCTGCAGTCCCCACCTCCTCATCACCCCGGACGCCCTCCCCAGCTGGGGGCGCCCTCCTTTGCCCCTTGCCTCTGCAGGAGGAGGGTTTAAGATCCAGAAGCCCCTCCCTCAGTCCCTCCTTCTCTATGGCCCTCGCTACCCGCCCAGAGAGCGGGGAGCAGGTCCCCAGTTTCTGCAACTGCTGTGGAGCCTAGGAGGTCTCCAGGGCTAGGGCCTCGAGGTGCAGGGGGTAGGGTGTAGAATACAGCCTTGTATCCTGGCAACACAGCCAAACCCAGAGCGCTCTCAGTCCCTTGCTTCCCTGAGGGACTGGCGCGAAGGGTCCAGCACTACCAGCCCAGCGCCTGCACCCCATTCTGAGAGCTGAGGCGGGGATGATGCTCTTCCCTTTATCCCCTTTCCTTCCCCCCTCAGTATCCCTGGCCTCACCTCGCATGGACCCCCTCCTGTCCCCCCTACTCTCCTCGCCACCCCCTTCACCCACCCCTCCCCCTCTACATTGTAACCCCGGGTCCCCTCCCCCCGGGCACCGAGAGGCCCTCCTCGCCCCGTTTCCAGCTTCGCCAGCTCCAGACCCTCTCGGTTCCCAGCGCTCTGCCGCCCTGCTCCTCCCCAGCGCGGCGCTCAGCTGTCCCCTGCCCCCCGCAACACCTGCGCCCGGAGCATCCCTAGCCCGGCCGGCCGCCGCCTCCCGGGCCCGGCCGCCGCCCCCGCCCCCGGCCGAGGGGAAAACACACAAAGAAAACAGAAATACCTTCCACTTAAGCATGGAGGCACATTAGGGAGGAGAGAGACAGGGACATGCCTTGGGACGGAGCGTTCCCCATCGGGCGGGGGCGCGGGGGGCGGGGGCCCCGGGCCGGCCTGCCTGGCGCTCGCCCTCTCGCCGCCTCGCGGGCTCCTCTCTCGGCCCCAGCCCCGGGGCGCGGTGCCAGGCGGGCGGGCCGGGGGCGCGGGCCCCGCCGGGGTGGACCAGCTTGGGAGGGCGCCGGCGGCCGGGCGTGTGGGTGCGCGCGCGCGCGGGCGTGTCACCGAGTGTGCGAGAGCGAGTGTGTGTGTCTCTGTGTGTGTGCGCGCCGCGCCAGTGCGCGCGTGCGGCCGGCGCGGGTGTGTCACTGCGGGCGGGAGCGCGCGCGACGCGGGCACGCGCGTGTGGCCGGATGGTACAAAGGGCCGCCGGGGGTGGCAGGGAGCGGGGGAGGGGAAGGGGCGCAGCGCTTCCTCGCGCCCTCCAGCAGCACACCGGCATCCCGCAGCACACGGCCCGGACTGGGATGCGGGGCGCGCTCATGCTCCGCCCCCCCACTCCACCTGCTATCCCCCCACCCAAAGCGGTCCTCCAGCCGTTAGAAACAAATGACCCCGGAGTGGCCTCGAAAGAGGCATCTGGGGAGGTGACTCCTTGGGTCTCCAAGCACGCCTTGGGACAGAAAAGCACTCCAGGCGCGGCGAAGCAGGACGAGAGGATGGAGAAAGGACAAGAAAAGGGGGACCACTTTTCAGCCAAGGTGACCTCGGAACGCCACGGTCGCTCCACACCTGGAGGGGCCCCAGGGTGCCTCTCCTGGGTCCCGCCCCCACACCCCTGCCCCTCCCCCTTTCTCAGCCACCACTCGGCCTGGGACCCAGCTCTCCGGCGCCCCCTGCTGGACAACCTCCCCTAGCCCCTACTTCGGTTTCCCGCCCCTACCTCAGGCGCGAGCAGGTACTGCACGCGACTGAGGACACATTGATCCCCTCTGAAGTGGACCCAAAGTAGGATGCTCCAGACAGTCTTCTCATGCCTCTTCTGGCGACACCTTTGCCACCTCCACGGCAGTCTGCAAATCGCCATCTCGGTACTCCCACCCTGGTTCACCTTACGGGGCCTACCTGGTGATTCCGCAGACTTCTCCATCTCCAACTTGGACCCAGACACGGGTTGACCTTTTGTGCTCAGGCTTCTCCCTCCTTCCTTCCCTCGGGTTCTGCGGCCAGTTCCTCCTCTCAGAATCCTCGCTTCGAGAGGGGCAGGTGGGCTGAGCCCTCTGTCCTTTTTATTTACTCCTGGCATTCCCAAAAGCAGTTCAAATGGTCAAGAAAAGGCCACCTAGTGCCCACATCTCTTCCCTGAAGTCCACCCGGCAGAATGGCTGGCAGACAGAGCCCAGGAGAAGAGACCCCACCCCAAGTGGCCCAGATGTCAAACCGGTTTCCCCACTTCGTGATCTACCCAGTCCCAGCCTTAATCTGGGCTCTCCTGCTTTTCTGCCCGCCCCCAGGCCTGCCTCTGAGCCAGCCACGTGCCCAGCTAGGGGCAAGGTCCCAAATGCCCCTTACAAATCAATTCCAGTTCCACTAACTTAGGTGGCAGGACACGGCAGTGGGAGGGGACTCTGCTCCAGCTGGCCATGTCAGAAGGACAGCCAAGAACTGTGTCCTGGACACACGGTCTGGACACACAACCCCAGCAGTTAAGACCATGACTTCTCTCCTGGGCCAGCTGCTTTTCCCTCTGCCAAATGGATGGTGCCCATCTTTTGGCCTCTGGGCACTCACTGGGCACCCTTCCAGCTCCCTGCCTGGCTGCCTTCCCAAGATGGGCACCAGGAGGCACCGGGCCCTGTGCATGGGAGGGGTCATAGCCATTACGCCTTGAGCCTGGCACACACCTCTCCTCCCTTCAGACCTTCACACTGTTCCATAAGACCCCTCTGCCTCTGGGGTCTTCCCAACCCAGAGCCCCCTCCTGGAGGGTAGACAAAATGTCTTCCTGTCCCTATTCTGTGCCCATCCAAGGGGAAGGACATCAGTGGGTACTTTGCCTATAGTCTCTAACTTAATCCTGCCATATTAGCCACTCCTCAGAAGTGAAGGTGCAAACCTGTCATCCTAGGTTTGAGAGGTAAAGGCAGGAGGATTAACACACATTCTAGGCCAGTACAGTCTTCCTAAGTGAGTTCTAGACTAGCCAAGGATACATGATGAGACCTTGCCCAAGAAACAAAACAAAATAGAGAGGAATAAAGGAAGGCCCCGAGAAGTATAGGCGACTGCACAATCCAAGAGCCTGAGCCTTAGTTGTCCTGACTCTAAGACTCCCGGCCCCTTTGCTGTTTCCACTGTCGTCTTGCCTGTGGCTGCAGAAGCAGAACGCAGCCCTGGCTCTCCAAGTCTCATATCCCTGCAGCCTTAGCAGACATCCGGGGGACGGTAAAGGAAGGAGTTAGGACAAGGCTTCTCTCAGTTCCCACGGACCTGGGCCTTCTCGCCAAGGGGACAATTGGAAAGATGTTTCTCCTGCTCTCTCCTATTTCATGATTTCTTTCCTGCACTTAACACTTGACTCCACGGATCAAGACTGGATGGGGAAAGGTGGTCAAATCAGCACCTAAGAATTGTAGACAGCTCCAAAGATGGCTCCGGAAGAAGCCTTCCACGGCAAGGCGGAATCACCAGGTTCCAGTGTCTTTCATTTGTGTGGCTATCTTTTGTTATTTGTGTGTGTGTGTGTGTGTGTGTGTGTGTGTGTGTTAATTGTCTTCTAAACAACCTTGCTGTATAGTTCAGGCTGGCCTTCAACCTACAAGCCTCTTGCCTCAGTTTCCCTAGTGCTGGGATCACAGATGCTGGACACTAGGTATAGCTTGTGTAGCTTACTTTTGTTGTTGGTTTAATTTTTTAATTTTTCCCATGCTGGGATTGAACCCAGAGCCCACACATTCTGGGCACATGCTCTGTCCCTAGGTCATGTCCTGATGATGAATCCTCCACATCTCTGACCGTCTCAGAGCTAAGAACTCATTTGACACACACACACCCTCTACTCCCCCAAAGACTCTATATACATACACATACACCAGGGCGGCCATCCCCAGGGCCTCATGGGAGCATGATAATAAACAGAGAGTCTGAACAGAAACAAATGCATAATGATCCCAAACAATGACCTGACCATCACCCTTCAAGGATGGCCCCTCCTATGAGGCCTCTGGAAGAGAACTTAACTGCAAGGAAGAGAATGATAAGGACCTGAACAGCCTGGGTGTTCCTAACCCAACAGAAGCAAGCAGGACGGCTTCTATATGCTGGCGTGGTGCCCAGCAAGATCCCGTGCCAGCTGCCTCCACCTGCGATGCCTCAGGTGCTGCCCCGCCTCCTCTCATTCCTCAACATAACTTTCCCTGGTCGTCCTCCCCTGTGGCTTCTGGCAATGCTCCTTCTTAGCCAAGAGCTGGCATGTTTAGGGACTGGGGGAAAAAACTAGAACTTTACCACTCCCCCTGTCCTTCCCAAATACTCCAGGGCCCTGGCCCACTCTGAGAGCCACGGAAAGAAGAGTCAGGAGCATCCCGGAGTGGGAAGTTCTCACCCTTTCCCCCTCTTCCCTAAGACACTATAGCAGTAGGCTTGGATTAGCATAGTAAGAGCGGGTGATGAGAAGAAAATCAAGGCTGACTCCCGAACTACTCATTCTGGACCTCAAAGCATCTGCTTGAGGTTCCCTTAGAATGCCCCGCCTCCGTTTGTCTGACCAGGGCATTTCATGAGCCCCATAGAGCTAAGCAGAAAGCCCACAGTAGTGACCGTGCATGGACGTGGAAGATGAGGCAGCAGAGGAGGAGGAAGGCTAGCATCTGGGACCCTAAACCCTGCACACCTCTCTTCTCACGTTCCTCCCTCTTCATCCTCACTCCCACTCCACAGGAGAGCAGTGAGTGGCTGTAAATTTCAAAAGACTCTCCTGACTCCCTCAGGTCCCCCTCCCTCGCTTGTTATTGGAACGAATGCAAATGGTGCTCAATAATTGATGCCTTCATTAGCACATCAAACCGCTTTCCGAAGAAAGGGGAGAGAAGGCGGAGGGGGCTCTCCGAGGCCGGGCCCCCTTCCCAGACCCTCTCCTGGCCACTCAACCTCC